TCTTGAAGAACGGGTCCTGACAGATCAGTTAATTGAGAAAAGGTTTTTACAGGATATTGATTAAACCAGTTGCACATACTATGGATGGAAGTAATACCATCAAATTTCGCATGTTGATATTGTTTTCTTTATAAATTACTCGCATTGTAGTGTTCTGGATGCTTTTGGAAAGTATATGGACGATGACAAAGCACTATCGAAAGCGAAAGAAAAACTAACGCGCACAGTTGTTGATGTTGAGGTTAGCAGAAAACGTAAGCAGGGAAATCATGACGAATCAAAGGCTCAGGAAATCCAGGATGAATATGATGCCTTGCAACTTAAATTAGAATCTTATAAGGTTGATTTTTCTAAATGAGATGCAAGACTTGTTTAATAATGTTTGAAATGGCTTGTTGAATAATCGACAAAAATAGCACTTTTTGCATTTAGGACAACATTTTTACGGATATTTTTATACTACTGTCAAGGGAAGCTGAAATTGCTGGTATTTATAAAGAATTGATAACTGCACAAATGGAATATCATCGGACAGCCTTGCAGAAACTCGAAAACATCTTGCCTGAAATCGATAGAAAAATTGGTGAGCATTTCCTTATGAAATTAAGGTTGGTCTTATTTCGCTCCTTATGAATTCTCTTCCAGTTAGGATGGTTTTCGCAGGGATTTGAATCTTATGATCTTCAATTATAAATGTTTGCCATAAAATAAATCCATTGTTCTCCTTAGAAAACTCTGCAATAATTTATTACAACGTCTTTTGTCTTTCTTCTCGTTTGATTTTAAAAAATGTTTATTAAATAATTTTTATATGTGGTATTTTCCACAATTAATACTTTTGTAGCTTCATATCCTAATCGCCCTGTGTTTGGATGTCATCTAGAAGACCACTTACGTTGCTCTAATCGTTCAGTAGCGTTGGTTCTTGAAGTGTGTTGCGCTATTCTAAAATACCAAGGTTTCCAAGAAAAGGTTTCTTATTCTAATATGAGTAGCGTATATTTTTCATAAGGCCGTTTTACGATGATTGTAATTTCACTTAAGAAGCGTTGGTACAAAATTCGATAATGTAGAAGTTTTCATGCTACTTTATTTTCAGGGCCTTTTTCGAGTTAGCGGTAATAACAATCGGATTAGGCGCCTTAAAGCAGCATTTGATGCCCATCAAATAAATAATAGTTCACTGGAAATTGCCGAATACATTAATGATCCGCATTCAGTTTGTTCGGTCTTAAAATGTTATCTTCGTGAACTTCCTGAGCCATTAATGACGCATAATCTTCACTCTGATTGGATTTTTATTGCCAAGTAAATTGCTGTTTGTGTAACTAAACAATTTCATGGAGCTGTTTCAAAATATTGTTAGATGCCTTTTTCTGTTCACTTAGTGTTGAGACCCTCAACTTTCACCCCATTTTGAAAAACACACAACCTCAGTTTAAATTTAAAACAGCTGATGTACGCAACTAATTTTTGTTTTCATGTATATATATTTATTTTAAGGAGAGATCCAGATTACCGGAAGGAAGCTATATATCGACTTCTTCCTCTGATGCCAGAAGTAAATCGATACAATCTTGCCTATTTAATCAAGTTTTTACAGTTGATATTGGATTATGAAGAATATACGAAGTAATTTCTTTCATATATGTAATGACGGTAGGTGGTTTTAAAATTCATTTTCTTATAGGAATAAGGAATTTAAACTCTCGATTTTATTGCAGAATGAGTGTAGGCAATTTATCGATTGTTTTTGGCCCGAATTTGGTTGATGCTGGCAATGGTACCGAATCGGAGAATGTACTTGGTTCAAAGTTGGTGGAAACATTAATAGTCAATGCCGATTTTTTCTTTCCGAATTGTAATTTTTTGAAAAACGAAAGTTTCCAAGATGACTTCTCAGTTAATTGGCTAATTCGCTTTTTTTGAATGCAGGAAAAAAGCATTGCCTGTTATCTTGAAATGTGAAGTACTTGAAATGATCTTTTTTTTGAAATGAATTTTTCCACATATCGGATTTAAATCAGTCTTTATAAAAATGTGTCCAACGCTTATATGGCTGTGCATGAACATCTTTAAAATTTCAACTGTGTTTTTTATGTATTCATTCGTCTTTTATTCAGTTTCTGTAAGTCGTGAAATTTCTGTTTGTAGACAATTTCAACTACACATCACCACTGCTTGACTCATTTCTGCAGCGAAAGCCCGATGTAGCAAACAGCTTTGGCAGTGGAGATCGTATGGTTGCACGTGGTACACAAGGACAACAGCATACCGGGTTTTATCATGCACAAAGCAACAAGTAAGCTTGGGTCTGAAAGTAATGCTATCGCCGATATAGTAAATCCTTTTGTAGTTTAATCCTTTTACAGTTTTTGTTTCTTTGTGATTGTAAGTTTAGATTATTCCTTTTTTCTTTTTTTTTTTTTTTTTTTTTTTTTTTTCTATTTGTTTTGATGTGCTCTGGAGTAAGAAACTTCTTTAGAATTGTAGTTTTTATATTTAATTTTTTTTTTTTTTTTTTTTTTTTTTTTTTAGCAATTCCTGCAAGAGTACAGCGCAGTCGCGTAATATAACCTCAGTGGTACAACAAACATCGCATCCACCATCATCTTCTACTTCACGTGCTCGTCCGAAGTGGCCAGCACCACCGCCACCTGTTGTAGGTTATTCAAATTGTAACAACAGTAATAATAATTGTTCGACTCATCATTCGAATCTTTGCAATGATAGCGTAGAAGAGATGTCGTCTAGTTTAGAAAATTTGAATAATTTTATTAGTAAAAGTCCATCAGTTGCATCTAGTGATTCGATGGCTGAATATGGTTGTACAACTAATGTTGAAATATGCGATAATTTTACTTTCCAACCACAAATGATCCGTTCCTATCACGAACCAGGCCGTCCATTACGTCCACCGCCACCACGTAATGTGGGACGGTCATCTACACCGGATGGAGGATTTCAAACTTCTGCCGTTGATTCGGTGGAGCATAACAGCTCACAAGAGGTTGTTAAAACGTTGCAACCTGATCTGCTGCGAAGCCGAAATTCGGTAGAGAATTGTCCTAGCGCACCTCTTCCAGTTGCTTGTACAAAAGACAATCGTACTGTGGTGCATTTGGATACTGATGCTTATCATCAGTATGCTGGAACATTGTCAGGAGCTGAAAACTGTAATACATTGTCTAAACCCCCTTTGCCTTATAAGCCGAAGTCAATAATCGATTTAAACAAACCAAACGAGATCACTAAGCTTTAGTGCTGTTTTATGATCACATTGTTCACACTTCTATACACATATGTTGACATGAACTGGATTAACAAGATTTCTTAAAAACCACAACGCTGTGGAATTTAAAACTGTTGAATTCCTTGAGCACCCTATTTCAGCTTTTTTTTCATCTATTTTATAAATTTATTTAGTCAACTTCCATTAACATTTTATTATAAGATGTATAGAAACTATTTTCCTCTGTCACTTCAATCTCCTGAGTATATCTTACTGTTTTTTGCACTAACCATTATTCTTGTTTATAAGATTGGTCTGTTACATATTTACAAGGCAATAATTTGCAAATTTCAAAGCTATGATACTTCAGGTTAGATTTTTTTTTCTTTTTGGTTACAAAACTTTCTCGAATTATTGTAGGCATAATTTTATGTGCACAAATTTTGCATCGATACTAACAGTAAAATATGCAACAATAACTTTCTGTTTATAAGATCTTACTACTGAACAAAAATAACGGTAGGGCAATGACAAGTTTTGTAATTTGTTTATGTTGTTGAGATAAGTAGCAAGGGATATCTTCGACACTTACCCATTTTTCTTAATGCAGATTAAGATTGTTGATACGCACAATCACTTTGTTAAAAGTTCATAATTTTGAAACCATTCACAGTCCTCTTTATCGCTAGTTTTACTAATTCGTTAATTTTTCTCGTCATTTATTTGAGATCTTAGATGGTATCTGTCCCTCTTGTATGGAGAAATTTTCCCTGGAAGCAGTTAACTTCTTTGTATGAATGTCTTCATGAACACTTCCGACTTGTTTTCAACATTTTATATGTAATGAGGATTGATTTTTCATCATGAACTCACTTTCCCATGGCGAAGGGTTGATCACTTCCTTCATATTTCTTTGTTCCATTCCATAATAAACAATGCATACTGTATTGTCATCAATACTTGAATGACGTGTATTAATCCTTTTTAGCCTGTGCTAAAATCTGAAAATTCTCCCTTTGGTCGACGTGATTGATTGGTTCGTTGTTATCAGCTACGAATTCATTTTGATTAATGTACATTTCCTGCGTAACCTCATACATGTTATTGTCTTTTTGAATTTGATCTGTGCGGTATTTGCCGACACTTATATTTTTAACCGCTGTTTACCAGTGGCAGCATTGATCTTCACAATGTGTTTTATCGATTCCATTTCTCTCCAATATTTGACCGTTCGGTCGCTTGGAGTTTGTGAAGGTAATTGAGCCAGACTAGTTCAGAGTGACGAGTTACACTTTTCTCATGAAAAAAGAATACTTTCCTTTGAATACATTGTTATTGCAGAAAATTAATCTTCATCTTATTGTCGAGAAATGAGTTGTTCCAGCGTAAGCCGTCGCACCAAATAAGCCATAATTCCACAAATTTTTTTATCTTTACTATGAGTTATAGTTAATCAAAGATCTGCATCACTCATTTACAAACATCACTCTTCTATCCTACAATTCCCTAACAACAATACTCTAGACTGCACATTGTTAGCATACTGAGATTTATGAAAACAGGAAATGCATAAATGAATAATTGTTTTACTGGTACTTCATAAAAAAAATGAAAATAAAAAGACAGAGGAGATGGTAAATACGCAGTCAAATGCTGAATCCCAGAAATGGGTGCAGTCGATAGTTAGTATGGTCCTTCCTCAAAACAGTTTCTGAATGGGATATTCGTATAGTTGAAAAGAAGATAAAAGAATAAATTACGAACGAAATTAATCAAAACGTTGCCAACAGTTTTTGGGAACACTTAAATTAACCGGACTCGGTGGTGAAGAAGTGACTGATGGTATAGATGCAAATGGATCGGAATTCAGGAACTGTAGTGAAAGGTGGTGTGGAGGAATATCTGCAAGTTTTGCTGGGCTTGCAGTCGCTGCTCTTGAAGTACAAGATGGTCGTTGTAAGTCATCAGTTTTATCATTCGATGTTAATGGTAATAAGTTATCACTGAGATCGATCAGATCCGTTGTCTCTTCAAGCACTGATGACGTGGTCTAAAGCAATCCAGTTATGATTTTATCAATGAATGACTCTATTTTGGCCTTGCTATCAATGACCACCAAGCAAGGCGATAAAATACATCAACTTCACAATAAGTTCTTACAAAAACAGTCATCGAACTGTTCTGTGTAACTGACGTATCACTAATTGGTGAAAAAAACTCCAAAAAAACTAGAAAAGCTAACATATTCGCCTACAGTACTCTACCAAATCTTTTAGATATATATTTGCTATTTAGAATTTTCTGAATTTAAACCGTATTAAAAGCATACCTCACCACCAGACTCCATCTTATCCTCGGTCATCCACTGCTGTGTGTCGAATGAAAGCATTCCATCATTATAATGTGGTTTTCTCGAAGAAACCCGTCGAATTTCTTTTGGGGTTAAACGGCCCAAGCGTTCTTTTAACTAAAATTCTTTAAAGTTGCAAACTACCACCTTTCAAATAAACAATTCCAAAACCATCTAGTTAGACTTACCTTTAACAACAAAGTGTTAAAGAAACTAAGAAAATACAAACTTACGGCAATAGAATGAACTTTATCTTTCAATAAACCAATCACATCATTTGCATTTTCTCGAACCTAAACGTAAGGCAAATTTTATGAGAAGTAACAAAGCGACAGTGAAGCATTCTTCCTATACATATACAGTCAACAGCTGAAGAGAATATCAAACCCTTGCAGCTTTAAAAACAAATAATGAATTCATGCGAAACATTCGAGAACTCATCTAAAATGGCAAAGAAAATGCAAGGAATGAAAAGCAAGAAATGCGGTGGAAATATCAACATTTCGCAATGTTTTCAAGAAAAAAAACACTTCTTCCCTCTCCTTCAGTTTTAACTTGTAATGTTAATTAAAGAACATGCATGAATGGTACATCACCACAATCACAACACCACAATAGCAGTACTGACAAAAATCTTACAGAAGTTACTGCATTCTGAAACATTTCTGGATGATTCTGCAACAACATTTTTCAACTTCATCAGGATCAAAATAAGACAATGCAATCTGGAGACAAAAATGACCAATGTATTAGAATTTTCGAGAATTCAAAGTCTGTACATACCATATGTGATGCTTTCAACGATTTCATTTCATTAACACGAATCTCTTTTTCAAATTCATCATCAATTGGTGTTCCAGAGTTCAGCGCTGCAATCCTTTCATCGATGAACTAAAAAGAGCAAGGATATCATCACCATTAAGACATGCACTGCACTAAATGAACTGATGGTCATGGGGATCAACATAATGCCCAGTATATGTTAATAAGTTAGCGGCACAATTTTCACATGATCATTTATTAGAGCACTCTTACCCGTTCAAGATACTGCACACCATCTTGCCCAAGCAAGGACTGCAAATAAGTCTGAAGATTGGGCTTCTGATTCTGTATGAATTTTTGGCGATCCCATGAAAAAGAATACGACGAGCATGATAATCCTTTATGGTAACCACCGAAAAGAAAAACATTTGTCCTGTAACACAATTTGAGAAAAAAAAGTTGTCACCCAGAATTTTCAGATTACTGAACCTTCATCTTAACAAACAGTCTAATCTATCTGAATGTTTCAGTGTCAGTACTACATTCACTTATATCAGATATTATATTAAATCACTAACCTGAGAAAAGAACGAGCTAATCTATCAGAAAAGAACATGTTGGAGGATGAGTGTAAATGATGTCGAAGGATACTTAATGCTTCAGCCGGTAAATCTAGCATATCGTTATGAGTACATTGTAGTGTACGCTCCTCTAAATCGATGACCATCACATCGCCAAGCTCAAGCTGTTTCACAGACTAAATTGAATCTTAGAGTAGTTGATTCAGACTAATCTAGCATATAATATCCTTGCAAAAAAGCGAAGATGTGTATATTATATACCGCTTCAGAGAAGATTTTAATCTGAAAATATTTTTTTCTTGAAATAAATATAGTGAAATCATTACGCCACAACCTACCATTCCTTGTAACAATCAATTTTAAACAAGGTCAAAATAATAAACCTGCAGAATTTTCTTGGGCACGCCTATAAGATATGGCATTGGCGCCCTGAAATTAAAAAGACAAGCTTTGTTAAACAGTAATTCTTAGAGAACTCTTATCCGTTACATTTTTGCAAAAATCCAATACATTGTAACTTAGCCAAGATGAGAGGGTTACACCGAAGCAGATTTGAAGAAGTTTAAACAGGCCAAAAACACAGTGCTAATCTTGACCGACTACGGCCAGGAAGCTTCGAACCACTTCACAGCTCAACTAACAGATAAACTAAAAATGAGAAGAATTGTATATCGTGTCTTTTCGAAACCTTACAAGTAACTGTATCCATTATGTGAATGTGATGGAGAAGGATGCGCTGCATTGAACAAATGATCTCAGACTAAGGGAATAAAAACAGTTACACCACACTTCGGTGGAAAAAATTTGAAAAACGAAGACGAAAAGTTAACAAATTAATAAGAAACCAAAATGATAAAGAGCAAACTTACATAAGCATATCAATCAAACCAATAGGAAGAACAGGAATGAAAAGATTCTGCCAGTGCATTGGATAAAGTAATGTAGCAGCAGCAAATATACACGATGAAAGTTGACCTAATTTCTGACTCGTAAATAAAATACGTCGTTCCTTTAATAAGCTGCAAATTAGAAAATTTCGTAACCAAGAAATATTTCCAAAGCTTTTTCTAATGAGTACAAGTAGCGAATATAGACTGAAAGTAAAGAAAGCGAATAACTAAATAAATCATGTAAGATACAGATAGAGAAGTATATAAATAAATAAGAAAGAAAAGAAAGTAGTGAATGAAAGTAAAAAATAGACTTACCTTGCATACAGTGCAATCATTTGCTTTTCAGATATGGCATTGTAAAATTCAAGCATGGATTTATTTTCTTTCAAAGTGGGTAATCTGCTAATATCTGGTACAGTTACTTGTAATTTCTGAAATAAAAAAGAAAACAGGTGAAGGAGTGAATCTGATGTCTCCCAAAAGGGAATAAAGTACTAGTTCCTGCAAAGTACGTGCTTTACTTAGTTCTCTTAATTTTTACTTAATTTTTTTAAATCCCAATTTAAATTCTTAATTTTTAAATTAATTCCTTAAAATTAAATTAAGTCTTGATTTACTTAACTTTCTCAATTGTTAAAAAATCTGTTTTAATATTACAGCAAATGTTGATGACACAGAAGCTCATATTCAAAACAACTTTTAATGTGAAATTATAAGTTTTTCATCGTTTCATTTATATTATTTTGGAATAATATAAATGGAACGATTTGAAAACTTGGAATTATTGCCGAAAATGGAATAAACACAAAAGACGTGTAGACAAAGGGAGAAAAACAAACATTTACACCAGGACTAGATTCGATAAGCAAACTCTCGCCTGGACCAAGAATAGGCGTATGGTAAGCACACGTCAGGAAAGAATCCAATTCATTTGTCTTAAAAAATTCTTCGTTTAGAACACGAAATAACCAGATAAATACAACTAACACAAATTTTTATCAAATCTCAGCTGCAAAAACGTCTTGGAAATGAAAAGAGATAAAAAAAAAAGATTTGTCAGAGTTCGTAATCTTCACATACCGGCCTGTTGTTCATCACTGCTGATATGTGATTAAGAATTTTGTAGAAAACATTGGTCCATGGAAGACCGCTGCAAAACTTTCACTTAGCGCCATCAAAATCAGAACAATTGAAAGTGAATTTAAAATTTCCAAGTATCAAACTTTCTGAAAAGGCAGTCTACAAAACACCTGAAAAGTCAGTAAAGTCACTCATTTCAAACAAAAATCCGTATCATAATCATAATTTTATCTGAATATTGTGCAGTGATTTGGATTGAACTAAGCAATCAGAAAACTGACATACTTGTGCTCGTAATGCATTATAAAGAAAACTCAAATTTATAAAAGCATTCGAAAACTAGAAAGATTCCAAGGAAACCTGAGAATACAAATACATGTATTATTGTGTGGCATAAGTCGACAAAAAGCATACGTATATTGTGATTTTTCATCTGTTAAGACAAATGAAAACAGCTGTACCGTTTCCATGTTATAGCTGTAAGAGTATTCACTTATTTCAGTAAGTGTACTTTTGTAAATATTACATTTTGAGATAAAATTTAATCTCTTGAAATTCTTATCATTTGTAATCCATTACAACAGAGACAGTTTGAAAAATCATTTCTCATTTAGCTGCTATGCATATTAGGACAAAAAAGTGTCATGTGATTAAGACCACACCTTTTCACTTTTGTTCTGGAATTTCTTTTCCAGAACAACATCGCTAATGAACCAAACTTTTTCAAATCCTGAACAAGCAGCAAGCAAATGTAATATCATAGTAAACAAGTTTCAATAAATGAAAAGAAATTTTTGCCAGAACTAACTCGTCAACGCCACAAGGAAAGCTAAACTGAGCTACAGATTTCAGTGTTTGTTCATGATTGAAATCATCAGGATACTTCTGAAGAATAACAGCTACTCCACCATCCAATGTTGCACCAACTTCACAAAACACGTCGAACAGAGTCACCACATCTTTCCTAAAAGACTATCCAAATGTTTAGATAATCAAAATAAACCGTGGAAACTGAAGCAAATTCCTTTGTCGTGAAATCAATCTATAGATAAAAATATATCTACAATCTAGAACCCAAAACTTGACATGAAATTCCACACGAAATTTACCTATTCCGCGACATGCCTCATCAAGATATTTAACATATAATGAAAGACGACGACACCTTGTACCTCCAAATAAGATGCAGCTCATTCACAACTATTCAGTTTATAAAACACCTAAAATATATAAATCCAATATAGTTCAAGTAGAGATTTTAGTAAGTGTCAAGATACGACTGCCACCCTAAAGCAGTTCACGGGAACAATTCTTCCAAATGAGGAAAACCAAATACCGTTTTTTAAACCACCGAACAAATTACTGGCAAAATGGTTAGTTACTCTGTACAACACTCCAAAGAACTGCATGATTTTGAATGCCTCAAACTCATTAACCCCACTCTTTTGCATAAATTCCTCAAAAACCTTACCATCCATCATGGGATCCGAGTTTTATTGATCTGAAATATTTACCTGACAAAGTAACAACATTCATCACAGGAATTAACTTGAAAGTTCACGACGGTAACACACAGACATCCATAACAAGATACAGCGTAACTTTATGCCATGGAAATAGCTTTGCTTTTTTGAACTGTTAAAACCATTCATGCAGTCGTGATTTGGAAAAAACTACAAATCAGGTTACCTCACTGTATCGAATCAGCACATACACTGTTAGATCCAAAAGACAAAAACGAAATTTCTAAACAAAATATTTACTATCGTGCTTTGTATCAAATATCTAACACTGATGATGACAAAGATAACGATCAAATGTTGGTAATCAATTAAACCACACAAAAATTATAACCAGTAAAATACAAAACCTCAAACTAACTTAGAAGACAAAAAATAGGGCGAGACTTTAGAGAATGAAAGAAATTATCAACTAATGTATCAATACCTTTAAGTCCAAAACGATGACTGAATAAAAACTCGAAAATTTAAATACATAGCGCACATAGAGTACAAGTACTTCAAGGAAATGATAAATGAAATTTTATTTTTTGCGTTAAAATAAACATAAATGATTGTACCGCAAATATTTAAAACAAGGTTGGGGGTTCGACAGATAATTATAACTGAGCAGCACGGGCGTCTCAATCACAGTTTCACAGAATGTTGGAACTTGAGCGCAAATACGATTTTCGTATGATTTTTTAACAGTGAATGCTTATATGGAACTTATATGGAACTAACCCTTTATCTCAACCTCAACCAGTGGCAAAATTCCCACTATTGGAAAAATTTTGACACAGAAATCCATGGCACATAGATTTCCGCAGACACTACACTTGACTAAATCTTACCCAAATTACTAAAGAATCCAAATGATATTATCCACTGTTACTTTCAGTAATTCGCACACATCATTGATCTTAATGGTAGTGTTAAAATTCAATTATAACAGTCACAGAAAGAAATTCAATAGAAATGAAAGATTCGAGTGAATTAAGAACATCTTTCGCTTGTTCTGGAAGTCTTTTGTTCTTACTGTACTCTCAAATTCGTCGCAGCCTTCACTATTATTATGGTTTCATTTCAGAATTTCCGAAAATTTGACACAAATTCAATCTCGAACAAAGAACAGATCAAGAAAGTGAAAGATTCCAACAGGATACAGAGATAAAAATGCATCATACATGCATTTTGTATCGACAAAACAAGTTACACTAAGAGTTTATGTGGAATGTAAACTTCGTCACGGTATCATGCAATCAGTACAAACACCAGGAGCAAAACTGATTAAAACGGGATGCACATGAAATTGTTAAATTCTTCCTAAATCAATCTGGGAAAACCATAATTAATCTAGGAAACTACAACTACAATAAATTAAATAAAAACAGTTCTAATTTCCTACAATATAAAGTATTGCAAAACAATAACAGAGATTAATGGTAGTGACCATTTCCAGCGAAATAAATAAGTAAAACCATGTTTTGGATATGTTAAACAAAAAGACCACACTAGGGACTTACAATTTTCCCCTATTAAAAAGCAGATTCTCATCACATGAGCAAACTTTCCAGTACTATTCGTAAATCCCTTACTATCAACACACAAACAAGAAATATCCAATGTTGAAAAAAATTGCCAAATTCTTAAAGGCAGTGACATGTGCACAGCAATGACTTCGTACATAGCCATTTTGGACCAATTTTGTCGAAACTCTAGTTTTTTTTTTTTTTTTTTTTTTTTTTTTTTTTCGAAATCATCAACATCTTCAAATCCAATCAAAAATAAGGAATTCTGAATCCTGAATAGAGAAAAAAGAGAGAATATTTTTTAAAAAATATCAGATTTGCTGTGCCCATCGTAAAGTAACATAATCATGACGAAGTATGGTGATCGATGAATAGTAACTAGTAACTTGACGAGGAGGTTATTCGCAAGCCATAATACTTCTATACACAATAAGTTTCTGTTTTTTTTTTTTTTGCTTTATACAACAGTAACTGTTTGCTGGCACACCCAAGGTTGACCCGTGACATACTCTGAAAGCATGCTATACACAGTTAAACTGTAAAAAAAATGCAGCGAAACAACCGAACAGTTCATCCAAAAACGACGGCTAAACGTAGCTGAAACATGACAAATCACTCCTACTTAAGATTTAAGTAAATATCTACTTCAAATCAAGTATTTAAGGACTAAATATTATGATTAAATATTGTAAGTACTAAATAAAATATATCGTTCAATAAACAAACATTAGCCTAAATCATCTTTTTACATTGCATTTCTCTCAAATATTAAATAAAAATGAAGTAATAATGTGAATCTTTACTGTGATTAGATTAGTACAAAGCTCCAAAAAAAGCTGCACGTCAAACGACATCCTTAAGAAACACCAAATGCATCATTCTTTTTTTCTTAATTTTAAAGAAAAATTAATGCACCTTTATTGTTCAATAACCATTCTTTGCTGCGCTAGCTGCTGCCCCTGCGATGGTTGCATACGTTTAGCAGTTCTGTAAAGTATAAGAATGATTTTAGAGTAAAAAAAAAAAAAAAAAAAAAAGAAAAAAAATGCAGGCAAGAAGACCTGATCAAATTAATCGACTGAATAAAAATGACCGAGTCCAGAACTTCCTCTTTCTTGAATAAAACCGGTAATAAGATCACGTTATTTCTCCTGCGTATCTATTCATCAGATCGATTAGGCAGTAATGAAAATTGGGCTCATTTTATCGCGATTTGAATCACGACTGAGAAATATGTCTTATAAGCGTGGTGAGGAAATTTAAGTACAATATGGCCTCAATTTTTTACTTGAGCAAATTCCAGTCGAAAACATAATCATAGGTGAAACCCTGCCGATGGAATAAATTTCGGAAAAGTTGACGCAAGTGTGAATAATCCGGTTGCTCTTCGAAACCCAAACACTTGCAGTACTTAAGATAAGCAGCAAAAGCTTCTGAAAATGACGATATAGTAAACTTTGAAAAACTAAGACGATGATAAGCATAAAGTTACGTTTTACTAGTTAAACACTATTTAATTTACAATCATATAAGACGGGATTTTGATATGTAGTAACGCTTCTGCAAATATTTGCTTCAAGAAAAGACATAAGGAATTCTGTTGCCATCAAAGTGGTCATTACAAACTACCAGAAGAAATTCAAATCCTAAATTAACAGAAAATTAAAGCATAGAATGCATATCAAATGCAAAACAACCAAAGTAACAAAAAGACTTACCTGGATATCCAGCACAAAGCTCTTCAACAGGTGTGCTCATTTTTTTCTCCGAGATCTTATCATATTTCTGTCGTTTTGTTGCTGCTTTCAAACCCTGCCACGGCAAGGTGCCACGATTGAAATACATAAGAACATACCCGAGTGATTCGATATCATCTCTTCGACTCTGTTCTACAAAAAAGCCGAAAAGTCATCCTAATACTTCTATTCAAGCATCCGTCAACAACTGTCTTTAACATTACTGCTATCTACGTTAGTAGATTATGCAACAACAGGCCAAGTTACTCTTCCACTCCTATTTTCTTATCATAGCCTGCTACCGTATCCACAATAAAAGCGCAGATAGTACGAAAAGTCGATTTCGTTTTTAAATCATATTTACACCTATTCCAAGATGAGTGTTAACAGATGCATATCTTGCTGTTCCAGTAAGGTTCTTATTTTCTCTATATGGAATATGAGCATGTGTCCTGCTACAGCGATACTTCTTCGCAAGTCCGAAATCAATAATCTGAAATACATTTAAATAACATTTAAAATGCTACAAGTAAAACACACATCACGGATTTTATCACACTGCCAAATCATTTCTTTACTTGATACATTCATTAAGTTCAAACTGCCTGACTTCCGTAGACCTACCGCAATATTCTTTCTCGCTTAATATCCTCGAAACTAAGCTCTAAAAATTTGCAGTCTTTAAAATTTTAAAACATTGTGTATCTTATAACACGATAATGTGTAGAAACATGGAAAAATCAAAAAACTTACATAAACTAAATTGCCCTTTTTGCCTAATCCCATCAAGAAATTATCAGGTTTGATATCACGGTGAATAAAATCTCTCGAATGGATATATTCGATGCGAGATAGCTGAAAACTAATTCGTTTTAAAACCTAGATTCTTATGTTTTGAATAATAGGAAGCTCTATCTGGAATTTATTTCCAGGCATTTCTTCATTTCCTTCACTTTCATGGAATTTACATCCAGAATAAAATTTGCTGGTGATAAAAAAACTTTCCGCGCATTCTACGGTAATCAGAGCTCTCGTACGTCACTTGGTTGTCACTTAAACTATTTTTATATAACCTTAACTAATTACCTTGATTTACAAGGATTTCAGTATGTGCTTCTGTTCCTAGTGCTTTACCTTCATTTGAAGATACAAAAGCTTTTCGGCATTCCTAGACCTATACAGCGATGTACAGATATATAAAATGAAGCATGATTCTCTTTAATAAATCTAAACCATAGCATTCTTTGTTGAATTACTTACATAATTTCAAACATTTCAAACCCTACCATTTGGTCAGCTAACAACAATACAGTCTTTAGAGTAAATTTTCGTGAGCAAAAATTAAATAAATCTTCCAGAGATGGTCCCAGCAGTTCCATTACCATAACATTATATTCGCCTTCGTAACCACACCATTTCACCTAAAAAAATGCTCTTTTGAAGCAACTACTAACTGCCAGTAGTTGTTCAACAGTTTAAAATTATTTTAAACTAGCAAGTTTATGACTACTACTACAAACTGTAAGCTTGATTTTTCTGAATTAAAATCCATAATTATACTATCTAATCGCATGATCGGAACTAATTAAACCTACCGTCAAAAGGTCGCACATGTAACTGCACGTTTTATCATGCAACATCGGTATTACTAAAACGAATTTAGTTCGAGCACATCAGAACAAAATTGTTAATTTACGCATATAACTGAGGAAAAAAATTGGCAAAGCTGCAAATGCAGTACCACGAATAATACTCACCTGGGGAATACCTATTCCTCCACTCATTAGTTTATATAATCTAGCCTCGATGTGCAGCTGTGGATGCTTAGTTTTCACACATTCTAACTTGATTGCTACCTCCTCCTGCGTTACTATGTTCTGGCCTGTAAAACAATGGATATATAAATTCGAGAAAAAAAAAAAAAAAACAAGTGGAAATGGGAAAATTTATTCTGTTTCTATCATTAAATATGAGAAGACATAAGACAATAGAACTATGCTCCCAAAACTTCTTATTTTTTAAATTCAATACCAATTCTGCTCATAAATACTACCCACTATACCCTTAAAATGAAGAAAGGAAATCCTAAATATATTCATTATTTTTAAAATTCACTACCCAAATAGATGTCACCAAATGAACCGCTGCCAATTTTCCGACCAAGTCGAAAACGACCACCAACCCTAAGCTCCATAAATGCTGCAAATATATATGATTACATTACTATCGAATACAGAACAAAATAACGCTAAATTATGCAAGAAGAAATCCCCCTTGCATCTGTTATGGATGAGGAATTACACATGTTACTTCTGAAATCTCAGAATACTAAAAGAATTCGAGCAAAGCTAAGAGAATTCGGATGAGAAGCAACAGATAACTGCATACGTGTGTTAATAATTAAACAAAGATAGAACAACATCCCCAAACAAAAACCACAAAAAAAAAAAAAAAAAAAAAAAAAAAACAATCATTTAGCCGGAAATACGGGTCGAAATAACCAGAACCAATCGGAAAATCGCATTTGAAATAATAACACCACCAGTTCTCATCCAAAATACGAGAATGACCACACAAGCCATTTACACTACCACCCACACAGATATCTACGCACCCTTCACACACTGTCAAACCAGTGCAAACCAGCCCACCACCTTTGACGATGTTGCTTGTGAAAAAATTGTAGTTGGCGCGGCTCATGACAGTTGCGCAGTTTTTTTTTGTCGACGACTTTATGAAAGTCGGCTAAACTAATGCAGGAGTTTCCTATGGGAAGTCATGTATTGATTAATTGGAATAAACATTTGATATGCATGAAGTGAGTGGGTATATTGTTGTTACAATTAATATTTGTCTGATCGAAGTTTTACATATCAAATTTTTACTTCGTATTCTGTTGATTTTCCTTGCACATACACAAATTATACTCAGAATAGGAAAATAATATACCGGAAAAGTCGGCAGGTATGACTGGTAACATTTGGTGCATATTTTTAACTGGTGTTATATTTATTTGAGACTTTGACGTACAATGAAAACGTTGTAACTCTTCTGACTTCGTACGTTTTAGTGATAAAGCACGATGGGACATATTTCTGAAAGTTGCGAGGAAATGAGAAAAATAATATAAGTGGAATAGCTTTCGTCATTAATAACCTGATTGAAATGAGTCGACCACACAAGAATTCTGGTAAAATAACATTAAGAGTCAAACACGTTACATTTTATAATCTTCATGCTGAAACGGTTAATTTTTGCATATTCAAATTATTGTTCTATTTCCAAGAACTTACTGAAAAGTTTGAAACAAACACGTTATAACATATAGAATTCAGTTGTACTATTTTGCTTGCCTTCGTTCAGTTCGATTAGTTTAAGCTCGAAGAAATTTGAATATGAGTCGATTTACGTCATCAGATCGCTACTACATGTTTCAAGATGTTGATCGTTATCATCCGTTAACTTCGTTTACTCGACATTATATCCCTTCCTCACATGCCCATGAACGAATTGTACCAGATACTTTGAGAAATTTTAAAGTGGAATCTCTTTTCGACTACTCCCTCTTGAAGAACAGTTACAATAAAAAAAAAATTATTCAGTTGGATGGAATCGCACCAATTATTGAAGGCATGCTTTTTTCTCTGTTGAAACAGCAGATGATATTTAAATATTTTGCAAAATTTGATTTTGACAATTTTGAAAATAAGTAGTCACCTTAAAATTAGCGTTTAGATTGTTATTTTGACTGAATTCGTAGAAAGTATAGGTGAGGATGAACCATATTTCAAAGGAGATGCGTGCAAGCTGGAGCATCGTCGACGAACCCGAGGTGTTATAGTAGAAGCTAACTATTCCATGGAAGTTCCGATTGCATTAACTCGTTATTTGCGTCCAAGTTTGAAATTTGACGTTGTTACCACCAAAACTTTCCTTGCAATGCTCTGTAGGTAAACATTTCAAACTTCTACTGCATATCTGTTTTTTTTTTTTTTTTATCTTAAAATCTTTTTACCTCTTATCTCATTTTGTAAGCTGAAAATTCAAATTTCATCATTCTTAGACTCGTATAGGTACTCATGATATTTTTCTATAAATAATATTATGGGTAGGTGGCAGTATTGTCGGAAAAAATTACTCAGTGCGTAATTCTAGGCTGCTTTCATTTCTGGACTTCTTTGCCACCTGCTATCATCTTAATCTTCGCTCATTTCGAAAGGGAGCGTTATTCGAGAAAATATGTCGGAAAAAAATTTTCTGTACACATCAACAATTTTTGCTTGGTCATATCAGTAACAGTGTGATATTTTTTTTTTGTAAAAATAGTGTTTATAGATTTATCGACAATGAGCTTCGCTTTTATCGCTTTAATATCGAACGTATTGGAGATTTAATAATTATCGAGGAAGTGCCTTTCGGCGATGCTCGCCCTACCAAAACCTATCTCCAAGGAGCTTTGGACATTCTAACTGGCCGGTAAGTTGTTATTATATTTTAGGTATTCAAAATGTTTAGATGAAGCTACAAGTATGAACTGCTAAAAAGGATAATTGTAAAAAAGTGTTCTTTTAGTATTCTACAAATTTCAAGAATTTTCCTATCAGGAAGGATGTACATCTTTGTTCCTCCATCTGTTTCTGAAATCGTGAGATCCTTAGTTTAAAATATTCTAATTCTCATCAACCATAAAAACTCCAGTTTGAAAATTAGAAACGAAAATAAATTAGGTTCAAGAAATTTGAAACGTGGTATTCAAGAGCAAGTATGGATTATCGACAGATAGCAATGTGTGAATTTGGTACAAAGTGCATTCTATTGCGACAACATGTTGATTTAGCGGAACGTTCATCAATTGGACAAATTCGCACGCATATCAACTGTCAGCAAAGTAAGTAGTTGATTGATTACAGCAAAATTCTAAGATAAGCAAAAATCAAGTGTCGTATTTGGAAATTTTTGAAAAAAGAAAAATTTTCCGCTTAGATGTAGAATAAAAGCATCAGTATTTTGTAGACAAGATAGTTCCCATTTACAACCTCTTTCTTATCTTCTTCCTTCCCTCTGTAACTCTTTTGCTACTTCTTGCTGGCATATTTCTTCATTTCCAAGGTATTTCTACAATCTTAACCCTCTGAGGCTGTACAAAAAGGTATTTTATGCTTTTATTCTTTCCATTCACTTTTTATTCTTTAATCGGCTTTAGTTCTTGGATATTTCAGACTATGTTCGCCAGTATCCTAAACAGCCATTCCTCCCAATGCTGCAGGATACAATTGCATCTTTGTCAAAATTCGAAAGATTTTTTGATCAACCGGATCCCACTTTTCAAATCGATGGCACTAATGTTATAATTCGTGGTCCAGTCGTGTATGCATCTTTTTTATTCACTTAAGGAAAATCTAGAAGCATTATTCTAAAGTAAACTTCGAAATAATTTGTTAAAAAAGAAAAATCCAGTCTGATTGTAGGCCAGAGCCACCAAAAAAGCCAATCGAAATAATGTGTCGATCATTCCAACGCTTTTCGGTACGTACTTCACTGTTTGATTTGAAGCACTTGCTGACTTGTTATGCATTTAAATTAAGAATTGAAAATGAACAGTTTCAATTGTAAGCATTTGAGTAAGTTGATGGCAAGTTGACTTATACAGTAAGTGGAACTATGCGATACAAATACTTGAAATAATTTCAAACATTGTAGTACTTCTGAAAATTTTCAATTCCAGTTTGAGAACCTTCAAATGAAATGGCCAAATATGATTTTCTCGGGTGCTGACCGTATTGTTAGTGTTCTACATGTCCGAGGACTAATCGACCACAAACCCAAAAGTTTCAGTTTCCATGAAATAGCACCTAAAGGTTACTACAGAACTTGCAATTTAATAGTTTATTGCTCGTTCACTTTATTTTTTAATTTTCCAAAGCGTCATTGCATATCAGATTCTGTAGAACTTTCTGGGAAGTTCGCAAATCAAGCAGCAAAAGTTAGAGCTAGCAGCTGAAATTGACTAATCAAGCAGTCAAGAACACGAGGTAGTATGGAATGATGAGTAATTGAACAATAGAAACATCACAATTCTCTGCAAACATTGCTTATATAGTACTGTGTTTTTCATAAATCAGGGTATAAGAACACCATGGCACGCGCATCAGCGCTTTGTCGACGTATCTTTGATTATATAAAGGAAATTGACAATCCGAGCTGCGACAAGTTAGCCTTGATTTGGTAAGTTTCGAATTTTTAGAAATGGTATTATCGCTGAAAATCATTGGGTACTGCATTTTGCGTTTTAACTATCGCTGAAACTACCTTTTTTTTTTTATGTCAATTTTTCTTCATTACTTTGTAAGTCTTATCAGTTAAATGCTGAAAAATATGACAAGGAAATCAACTGAATTAAATTTTTTATCTAGGGTGAATGACAAACAGTTTCCGTTGGATGTCAATGATGGCAATCATTTAGTTCTGTATCGTCGTCGTGGTAAAGGGTTTGATGAGAGAGCATTCATCTCACCATCACTTCGTACTTCGATTCTTCAAGAAGAATGAAGAAAAGAAATTTTCTCAGTGAAAAAAATAAACTTTTTTTGCAAAATCTTTTCTGTTAGTTATATCAGTATTACTCCAGTTAAAAATAAAGCGCCTTCGTTTTATTCGGTTAACGTTAAAAATAATATTGCTAACAACAAAACTGACTTTGATGTATAAAATCAAAATGAAACTCTCGATGCCAAGTGATAAAGATAGGCGTTTTGTTTCACTACTGTTCGATTTCAAGTACCATGGCGCTACCGACTATATTTCGTTGCAATGTGTATAAAGACGTCCTTTAATTTATGCGTTATGTTATAAGAATTACCGAAACAATCATAATTTTTGGTATTTCTCTTCAGTATTCCAATTATATCTTGTGTTTGCAGGCTCCCAAGAACTGAAAAGAGGGAGAGATTACGCTTGGTTACTAGTAGAAATCCACGTTAAGAGATACTATTATTTTTTTACACTTTTTGGAAAAGTTAAAAATCAGAATTTATATCAAAGAATTTTCAAATAATACCTTGCAGATATCATGCTGATTCAAGTAGATAACAGTCCAGGCCAGAAATTTCGGCATGTAAGTCATAGTCAGGTTTTCGCACTAAATTAAAAGACTTATCATCTTAGCGATAAAGAATCAAATTTTGTATTTTTTCATGGAACAGAAAACTATTGCTTTGAAAATGCACATATCGTGTTTTTCTGAATACTAATTTTGTACCATTAAACGAATGGAAAAGAATATTGGATATGAAGGTAGATTATTAATAAAGGCAATTTTATGCACTTAATATCACTTCTTTACTAAGGTACCTTCGAATAATGTAATTTAAATAAGAAAACTTACCAGATTTTTTTCATAGGGCAGTTTTTGACAAAATTTGTCGTGTAAAATATTCTCCAAAACTTTTTGGAAAACTGAATCAACTAATCGTGCTTTTATTTTACTTAATGCATCCCGACATGCTTCGCACGTTTGCAGATTTTCTGCTGAAAATTTTCAATTTAATATCGATGTCAGGTCAGGTTATAAGCAAGGAAAACTAATAGTTATTATATGAGCGGTTAATGAATTGTTTAAAACTCCACTTCGATAAATTGCCGGCGAAAGAGACAAGAAGGGACGATATTATTTGTGACGGATAACAAAAATGGAATTTGAATCTCAAGATGATGGAGCTTTATGTCAAATCCTAATTTAGAACAGAACTAACCTTTCAGAATGCTTCCAGTGGTGAGTTCATTCATAGGTTTCACAAAGTCATTTTCCATCTGCATCGTGTTACTATTATTTCTCTGAAACGGTAATTATCATGTGAATGTATGTATTGTATTGTATGTATTGTATTGTATAGTGTATGTATCGTTTCGCAATATTTTGCTGAAGTGTATATATAGGAAAACTGTGGTATGAAAGAACTAGTTATGAACTCTGATAATAGGTAGAAAATGTTTAGAACATTACTATTTTGTGACAAAGCACAAACAAAGCATAGCTAAATTTGAACTTCAATTTCGGATTCTAATTTATACCATGAGTTCTGAATATTTTAGATACTTCGATGAAGTTATTTCTTGATATTCAAGATAAAAAAAGTCAGAAATGTGTTTAGCTAATCTATATTTAATTGTATTTACTTTCATTAATGTTTTAATAGAATATCAAACCGATGGTCAGTGTAGCAAGCACCAACACTGCACATGAAATGTGAAAGACGAAAAGTACGCAGTAAGAAGTTCATGTTTTTAATTCGAAAAATATTCTTTTTTGAAAAATTGAAGTGAGCAGAAATAATGATACGAAAAATTTTAACCTTTTCAGAATTCATAACGTCACTTTCTGGTGCAGCTGATGGCTCAACCAAACGTTTGCAAAGACCAATATTAGCACAGAACTTAAAGTATTTGAAAATTTTTGTGAAATCATCATTTAAGAACTGCAACTTTTGGAATTCAATCTCTTCAATGGAATAAGGGAACAAAGGTAGAGAATTACTTCTAGCAGCGATCAACATTTCCAAGATGAGAACATTTTAAATCCAGAAGTACTGTTCATATTTAAGATCAAAGAGCGCTATTTCTAAACTAAAAAGATGAGTTTTTGAAATCCAAAAATTATGATAGAACATTTATCTAATGTATACATAACACTCCATTATAACATTACTATACGTTAGCTGACAAAACTATGACTTATAATCGAGAATTAACAAAAGAAAACATGAAACATTCATTACACAGTTTTGATATATCCCAGCCTTAAATATCGCTCAACTTACTGTTTTTGTATTTTGTAAAAGTTTGTCGAGTTCTTCTATAAGTTCTGGCATAAATTCTTCAAGCAACAGATCACACTATAAGAAAAACTCAAAGAAAGCATAATTAGTTTAAAATTTTAAAACATTTAGGGCTAAAAAAAATCCCAGAAATTTAATTTTAGGAAAAAAATAATAAAATTCTAAAGATTTGATATCGAATTTCAAAGAGAGTTTAGCAAATGCATACTTTCCCTCGCAAACTGCCTAACTGACTACAAATCTCCTCCGAAATGAATCGTTTCAATCGTTGCTGAGTTTTTTCGTCTTCTATTGCATGTTTCAGTTCCTCTGCTGCAAACTGACACTCTTCACATATCAGTTCACGCTGCAATAACATCATAAAAATACCTTTCTTTTCAATCTAATTTAAATGGATATTAGTATTTTGCGTCCACCTAAAATCCTATCCCTACAGTTAGATACTACATTTCCAAAGTTGCTGAACACCGAATATAATACTAAGTTTTGAAGTGAAGGATTATAAAAAGTACCGCTGAATCTTCATCCGCACTTTTTCTTCCGTAAATCATATTTATTCGATGGAAATGCTCAATTTTCCGATTCGAACAAAGGCGGAAGTGCTGACAAACTTTCTCTGGATTTTCCTAAAATATAATCTCAAAGTTGCATATAACATAAAACATGTCCTGCAAATCAGTTTAAAAGGATGGATAAGACTTAAATCTCCCAGAACTAACAGCTGAGTAACACTAAAACTTGAATAGTGCAAAAATAATTCTCTCAAACTTTCACCCAGAACACAGCGGAATAGGTAAAACAGTCCAGTTCTAGCAGTATGGAAAGACAAATTCGGACGACTGGCTAAAGATCTTACAGCACATACAATTATGTCCGTTATCATTAAAAACCACAAGTTTTTCTTTAATGAAAAAAAAAAAAGTTCAAAAAAGGAGAAGAAACTGAACCAAATATGGTTCCAACTTTTCGATAAAATGATCCAACTGATTAACTAGCAGACGACATTCATCTTCATATGGTGTCTCGTGGCAAAGTATTCGTAGCAAATCTTTCAATTCGGTTACTTTTCTTGGGTCTTTGATAGCCTCCGCAAAACGACTAATAAGCTGAAATATCGAATGAAAGATTCTGACAAAAAGAAAAATTAAGAAAGAAAGTAAATACTGTCGTAGAATTAAAAAATCAAAAACGGGATGGTCCAAAAACCTAACCATTTTACACTCATTACAAGTGCCGTTAAATGAAGTTGCTTGTAAAAGCAAAATATCTTTTGGCGTCTTATTTTCCTTCAAGATGAATTCCTTGTAAGCCGCAGTGATCACAATCAATGCAAAGAGTATAACAACAATCTTGGCCACCATTTTTGCGATTAGATCTGAACATTCAAAAACGGTCCATTTTCAAACGGTCAAAACTTCAAAACAGTGCGTTCACATGAAAGAGGGGAATTACTGAAAGAGGAAAATTGGAAATTGAAAGGATTTCTTTTTTTGGAAATTTACTCTAAAAAATATTCTCAACCTATTTGTCCTTAATCTAAAACATTTTGTATGGGTATAGGTAAAAAAATATGACTGTCATTGGCATATATTACATACCCAATAACATCACTTCTTAGCAATTGTAGGTTAATGCATGAAAGGTCAGAGGTCAGACGAAAGCAATACCAGAAAAAAGAAAAGGTAACCCATCAACACTAAGTGAGGAAGATATTTTTGGGTAGATAGAGCAATAATGTGACTCTGTATTCCTTTTCTCGCTCTCCCTGTAATTGATTCTATATTCCTAAAAAAATTTTTTTTTTCTTTTTTCTGGTATAATACATAACAGAATTGCTAAGATTAACAGGATGAAAAGTGATAAATTTTCACTGAAGCAATTAATAGTGACGTGTGCGAAATCCACTCGAAAACACGTTCACACTTATATCTAGCTATTCCACTTCTTTTCATTTTCCTCTATACTCCGGCATCAATTCCTAATCACTTAAAAAATATTGTCATATTTATAATGGCGTAAATGGAATGTTTAACAGGAGACTCATCCACGAAAAAAAATAAAGCTATTCAGGGGAGTATAAATATTCAGAATTAAATTTTGACAGTAATTCGTAATGTACACAGTGATAGAGTATTTACCACTTTTTAATTGCACTATCTTAAACTGAAATTAATTTTTCGCAGAAATAAAGAAGAAATAGATGAAATGAAAAGCTTGCATTTAGCAGGTGAAGTTTAAAATGCCAACAACAAAAAATGGAATTGGATTGTCAATGAGCAAAGAAATGGGAGATGAGGCCATTAAAATATTCCAGCGCTAACTCATCTATCAACCCTTCAACAGAACAGCTGTTGCACATATGTTCGAAATCAACCGGTTGATTGCGCGCAGTTTCAGCACTCATTTCAACTATTGCCTTAAAAATTTTTTAGATTATCGAATTCTGGTTAATTATATTTCAAAAAAACTGCAGTATGGAAAACCATCGAGATATTTCTGGCCAAATTTTTTGATTAGTAAAAGTTGATATATTTTGATTAATAACAGTCGCCTGCCGTTAAATCATATACTATTTTACAAATACATTTTGCAAAAAGTTTCAGAATACTTGATTTCAGTGCAGATAAGCTGTAATTTATTGACTGCATTCTGGAAGTTTTGATTTGCTTGAAAATGGAATCCTTTATGTATTGAACGACATACAGTAGTACAGTA